TGCAGCCCAGAGTAGGTGTTCTTCAGGTGCCTGAACATGGGCTCCACGCTGTCCGCACCCTGCGCGTACTTGCAGAAACACGGCTGGCCCTGAATTGGCATCCCCGCATCCTTGGAGATCTTCCGCAGTTGGTCCGTGAAGTTCCTGGCAAGACCAAGGTGAGCACACACACAACACAGACAATTTAAATGACCAAACAACAAACTAAGCCAGACTTTAAAACATATTCAGACTTGCCGCCAACAACCCCATGACATGTCCCATTTAAATAACACTAGATGCTGTTGGAACAACAGCAATGTACTCTCCAGATGGACCTGTGATTTAATCCTTACTCCCCCACCTCTACGATGTCTAGCTCCCCTACATCTCAAATTTTTTTATTAAAAGCTCAGATTTCTGTCTCGCTCAGTTCACCAGATCTGCATCTGTGGCTATCCTTTCATGTGCTACCACTAAGTGACGCTGCTTCAGTTTTGATGCGATTTGTTTCAAAATACATTCCAGACCATCACTTATACAATGTTCCTGGGAAGATTGAGAAAGATCCGGCAAATACTTTTAGAGTTACTGTGTACACAAGATCAAACGTCTTCTTCAGCTGTCCTTTCCATCCTTTTTTAATTAGGTGATCTGTGATGATTGTTGACACACCACAGCACACAACAAATAAATGTGTCATCTGCATTTAAACCATATGTGACATATCAGGGGGCAGCTAATTCAGCGCCCGGGGAGCAGTGCTTGAGGGCGGTACCTTGCTCAGAGTACCTCAGTTGTATCTTGCTGAGCAATTGGAAGTGTGCTTCCCTAACCATTAGGCCACCACTGCTTCACCTACCAACTAGCGCTGCTACTTCAATTTTGGTGCGATTTGCTTCAAAGCGAAAGCCAATAATTATCTTCATCATCGATACCGAAAGGCACTAACAGTGACCCATGAAGAGGCCCAGAAGACCCAAACGGTCTCCACAAACTGATACCCCCACCCATACTTACTTCAGCACCTCCTCACGGCACTGCTTCTGCGGAGCAAAGCAAGCGATGGCCCACACCTTAATCTCGATGCCATTGTAGAACTGTTTTCCCCTCATGTCCCACACACCTTGATTGGGAGTGGCGATAGCCCGGTTCTGCAAAGACACGTGCTCAGTCAGGACCCCAACCAGCAAGGAGTAAAATAACTGCCACTACATATAACTTAGGTCCTCAAGCTATGGGTCGCAACCCCCAGTTAGTTAATGTGTGGGCTTGCGAGACGATTTTCTCAATGTGCCAAAAATTTGTTTGTTTGGCACCCCACCTCCATGCAACAATTGTTAATTGTTAGAAATTGAGATTTTTTTTTTGATTATAATCATGGGAGGATGCCCGGTCGGCAAATTCGGAGGAATGGAGAATCTGCTGTCAGACCAAAGGGTTTAGACGTAAAGGAGGGGGTTGAGTTAGTCTTTGGACAAAAAGACTGTGGTACCTATTTTATTACACCTAATAAATCGACGCCTAGTCACAGTCGCCTTTCAAACATTAACTGCAAAAACCTTTGTGGGTTACGAGTCAATCCAATCAGCTGGGAAAAGCAGACCGCATCTCCACAGGCTCCCAGCTGCGGCTCTGCCTTCCTCAGCACACAAGGCCAAGCAGCAGCAGATACTCTCCACGTGTCGGCCCAGACGAGCAGCTGGAGGAGCTGCAGGCGTTCCCCGCTCGCCCAGACGCTCACCCGGCCTCCGTACTGCAGGATGGGAGCGGGTAGCACCCGGCCGGTCACCTCCGCCATGTCGTCCTTCACCTTGATCCCAAACTCCTGAATGTAGGGGTCCAGATTGAAGTTGGCATTCTTCATCTGGGAGGACAGGGAGCCGGAGGAGGGCACAAGGACGTCAGGCAACATTTTAGATTCGAATTATTCAGCAGACGCGTTTATTCCTGGGCCAGACAGTCCTCGGAAGAATTGGAGGTTAAGGGTCTTGCTCAGAGGGTTTAGAAGAATCCTTGAATCCTGGTTAGTGTTGTGAATGATGCCATTCATAAAGCGTGATACTATTACAAACATGAATAAAGATGGAGGCTGGCAGAGAGGTATAGTGCATCCAGAGGTGGGGGTCCGAATGCCCACAGAGTTTACACTCTCTTCCTGTGTCATGCAGGTTTACACCTGCAATCCAAAGACATGTAATTGGTCCATTTGCATGCAACTATGTGTCTGCATTCCTGTGATGAACTGGCCTCCTTACCAGGGTATTATACAGCCAGGGACAGGCCCTATACTGAATTTTAAGGTAAATAGATAAAGCTGTAAAAATCTATGTAATGTTGTAAAATCTTTATTTTGCTAGAAATGTTTAATTCAAACAAAATTTCTTTTTTTGTTTTGTTTGAAACGACATGCTACTACAATAAGGGACCATTTATTTTGTTTGATACTGAGGATTCAGCCTCCAGCCACCGGATGGCAGCACCACTCACCAGCCTGCTTATCTCCTCCTGTCTGTCAGGTGCAGAGCGCGCTGTGGCTTTGATCATGGTGGAGGTCTGATTATCTG